TTTCATTTTCACAGAACATGTTCAAGAGGAAGTACAATAACCAGATTTGAAAGTTTCTTTCATCTAAACCTTGTATTTAATACACAGTTACAGTCCGTGCCATATATGGCAGAATGGGCATTTGGGTATTATGTGTCAGATATTTCACACTGGGTAGCATTTAACAAAGTTATAATGTTCTTCTTGCGTTAAATTCTTCAAAACAGTTTCGCTCCTTGTTCAGACAGAGATGAACCATGCACTTCGTAAACATGATGTAGGTCTTTGAGTCACATCTGGAGCGTTTGCATTATTGCCGGTCGGCGTGGAGAGGAAGATGATCCATGCGATCGAACTGTGTGTCGACAGTTGGGGGGCTCACTTGAATGCTAGAGCATGAGAGAAACTGAGGACTCCCAGCTACAGATCGCCCTGGCAACCTTTCGACGGTAACCAGACTGTCAGCAATCGACTGATGGAAGTCACATAGCTTGACTCTGGGCTGCTGAAGCATCATGGTGACTACCACCATAGTGATTGTGTGCTAGAACAAATAAATGTACCATCGGCGAGTCTTGATTTTTACTTTGTAGAGAGCGGTGAGACAATCAAGTAAATCTACCCCTCCCATGCCTCCCATGTGTTTGTTGTACGTGCGAATTACAGCAGGGCACTTCACTGCATTTTTAAAATCAGTGTTTTGTCCCACCTGGCAACGTTCTCAACAGGTTCTGGTTCAACATATGATAAAATCACATCAACTTTCTTGTCATCGATCGAACGACGACGATATTGGAGTCAGCATCGACTAGACTGTCCATGCTTCCCGTACTTTCTTTTGCTAGCTCCTTCTCTGCCTTCAACTTGCAACCTTTCAAGCAGTGTTCACGGACGGTTCCCACATATAGCAGTCCTTTCTCCTTCAATTGTTTCACCAAGTTCACGATCGAAAAGTGGTTGTCAGCAAAAATGTTGTAATTCTTTCCATCCTCCTAGTTCTTCACCATGTCCATGACAACATCACCTCCCATGCCTAGTTCTGATCTACGAATATGAGCTCCATTTGAACCTTGATACACATCAAAGTCGTGCAGAGTGCCTTCACTTCCACAACGAGCCCACAACTTGAAACCTCATTTGTGGGGTTTGTTCCCAATGTATTGTTTCAGACTACACCGACCTTTGAAAGATACCGGTACCATAATTTCATCAACACACTGATGCTCAGACGGAATAATCTTTTTGATATTAGATTTTAGATCACTGATTCACGGACGGAGTTTCAATACACGATCATTGCTTGTGCTATCATCATGAGTCTCATTGCTGACAAAGTGCAATCGTTTCAAGAAAAAAATTAAGTTCCGGTAGCGTGAGTTTCACAGATCAGAATTTGTACAAATACACTTGTATAAAGAACACTAACCTTATGAACCCTTACATACAGTCTAAAGGCTGTTTAGTGTATGTATTTACACGGAAATAAAGTCAATCTGCTTTTTTTTCTTTTTCCAGTCAACTTGAACTTTTTGACATTTTACATTGAAACAGGGCTATGTGAAGAAAATCAGGACTCAAATGCCCAATGTTCCACATCTGGCACACAAAAACGTCCAGGGCTGCCCAGTGTGCCATATTTAGACCATACCTAAAAACAACCCCATAAATCAAAATGTAAATGTTGAACATGGAATTTGATGGTGATAATATCTAAATCTACTTTGTTTCAAAACATATATTAGGATAAATTGACAAAATTATGTATCTGACGGTTGATGGTGAAAGACTGAAGAAGAGTGGGTGCTGTTGTCTGTTTCAAGCACAGGTGTTCGTAAAAAACAAGAAGTTGAAAGGGGAATTTACTGCAGAAAAAAATCCCCCAGGGGCACTCAGAGGATGATTCTCCAGTTACCTACCTCATGAAATCCCCGAACATAACAAAAATTAATTA